TTACCTTATACCATATTCCCAATTTGCCTATGAATCTCACCCAAATTACATAATTTGACTAAGCGCTGAAATCTATGGACATGGAAGTGGTAAAGAGCATTAAATATCCGCGTTTCTGACGTCGGCAAGGGTGATCTCATGTACCCACCTTCCCTCGTTTCAATGTATAAGCCACTTAAACGAAGCTGTAAACATGGCTTTCTTCGTACTTTGACCCACCCACACACACCTTTTAACTAGCAAAGCGGGTACCAGTAACAATTAATTTGATGATCAAGAACTTGGTTAGAAACAATGAACACTTTTATTTCGGGATCGCATACTGGCAAGAAGACTCCAAAAGCGAGACATCGCCCTACCGATAACATGCAGAGCATCAAACCCTCAACCAAGAAGTAAAGACAATGGACCTGCATTTCGTTGAGACATAGCTCTTATCTGTTTCGAGTGCGAAACTAAACCCAGAACATGTGTATTAAAAAGAAAGCCATTGCGTCGGCGAGATGAAAAAAAACACATTTTAGACGGACCATACTTTGGTTTATATATGAAATATCCTAGAGAGGGAGGGGAAGAGGGGTGAACGATAAAGGCGAAGGGAGAGGAAACGCACAATGAGAATGATCTTAGAGGATTACCTTTGCAGAGCTGTAACGAAGGGTAAATGGGGAGAGTTTGCACAAAATAGGGTTGACAAATCGTTAAGAATATTGCGAGACGGCCTCCAGTTGAAGTTCATGGCTTGTGGTAGACAAATGATGCAGAAACACGAAAATGTAAAGAACAGGCAGAAATAATTTGGCTTTCATCCCTGCTGCACAATGCGGAACATTTGTATGCATGAGAAGAAACAATGAAGACGGCAGAGAAGTATAACATCTCTTGTAGCCATGTATTCTCTAGTGAAATGTGAGGGCTATCATGAAAACAGCAAATTGGGTTCTTCTAACATTCTTCGAGTAGGTGTGGTTGCCGGTTGATGGAACAAAATGGTGAGAGAGTCTTTGGCATGCTTTAGTTTAAACATCCTCTGCTAGGAGTGATTTTTTGTGAAAAATGGTGAGTAGGCTGAGAGGTCTTATGAAAGCGCAATGTAGATTGTTTGAGTGTGTTCGGTGGTTATTTGGTAGGGTTATATTGGTAGATTGGGATATAGATACATAGGTAGACTAAATATATGTATTAGATATGGGACGATATAGAAAACCAAGAACATAACCAACTTTTAGGATGCTGGAAAAATAGATGTTTTTGGGTAATTATGAGATGAGCAGGATGAAATTTTTACACGGAGTCTCGAGGTGCGTATGTGTGTGGTTGAAGAAGTACGAGCGATGGACGGCCACGCGATTCATAAAATCACTTTTTACTCATAAATCTGTATCAGAGCTTAATCTAACCTGGCTCCGCAGATTATGATATCAGAATAGGTGGATTGAGAGAGACTGAGAGATGGAGTGAAAAATCATGTTAGGGATAGCCAAAGACCTAGATTTTGATTGCTAATGACGTAAGGAACGTATGTAGGTCTAAGAGCCATGCTGCCTGGCTTTAATAAAGCGATCGATCTGTTCATTGGTAATGAATTTTTTGGTTTGCGGTGTGTATATGTATGCATCTGGATATTTGGTAGTGCAGTTGTAGCAAAAATGTTTATATGACTAGAGAAGGCTCTGGATAAGGAGAGGAAATAAGAGAGGTACATCTCACGATTGAAAGACACACAAAAGGCGCGAGATAGGAGAAAGATGGGGGCTGGGTAAGAGGATAACCGAACTCGATGACAGTCGGTTCGGCGTAGAATGTGGTGCGTTGGGAGGAAGGGGTCCGATTGGCACTGAGTGAGAAAAAGCGCTAATGTCTCTCGTATCAAGTCAAATCAGGAGGGTCTTTTTGGGGGGGAGAAGGGCCTTGAAATCGAGTGCAGGCCTTCTTCCACCGACACTGCTTACACCACCGACTTTTATTCACTGCACCATAGACACGCCTGCACTTGGCAGCTTCTGAGCGTCGAAAACCCGGCTGGAATTCGGAGGTAGAAGCGGAAGTGGAGGTGGAGGCGGGGACAGAGGAGCTCGGACTGACGTGGTAGGCTGTGGAAGGGGTAGTCACATCAGTGGTGGTGGCAGTAGCGGCAGTGGAGGTGGTACATGCGAAGGTGAAAACCTGAGCACTGGACGTAGAAACAGAGGGACTGAAGCTGCGCAAGGTGGACGTGAGACTAGTGGGCAGGTGCGCAGATCGTTCGGCTGTAGCGGTGGTGGTGCCGACGCCGGCAGAATGAGATGGAGCAAGGCTTGAACCAGCAAGCATGGTCTCCGATAGTTGGCGCGCCTCCCCTTCGGTCATGAGTAGCAAGTCCAGTGCAGAGGTCCGACGCGAGGCGTGGAGGGTGGAGCCACTCGTCACTGTAGCAGCGGCGGAAGTAGAGGCGGAGGCAGCAGCTGGGGCAGTCTGGAAAGACTGCGATGGATTGAGTAGTGGGAGAAGAAGGTTGCGGGCCAGCTGCTCAGGATCCGCCACTGGCATCTGTTGACAAAAATAAAACAAGCCCAAAACTTACACCACTTACGGAAATGCACCTCGGATAGCAATTTTGTGTCCAGTATGCTCGAGCATATGGTTTGCTGATTTTTACATTGCAAAATTCATTGGAACCAATCTTCATGCACTTTTAAGCAAGGAAAATCATCATGCTTGATGGACGGAACGTTTGCAATCTTCAGCAAAACTAACAAGTTAGCATAGGTACCTAATAAGTCTCGGATTGTAGGAAATAGACCCAGCATTACAATGATGGAGAAGAAAGACTACCAGGCCACCCTCATTACTCTCAGACAGTTGATTTGTCTACTAACCATAGTTTTTAAACTCCGGGTGTGAAAGCTAAGCTTCTAAAATAGTGTTCCTATCTCAGTAAACTGGTCCAAATGGTTTCCAGTGTCACAATAATTTCAAAACCTCCTTAAACCACAACTACTACGATTGCTGCTTTAGGTGCTTGAAGTTGTGCTTACGCGAATGTTTACAAAAACCATTATTTCTGCGGCCTCAGTTCTTAGTCTCGAACTGACCTCAGCAAAACGAACATTCAAATATGGAACAAAGCACTTGGAGCCTAGTGCAAATCAGTCATAAGCTTAAAGTTCGGGTAGAAGTCCTAAAATACAAGTGTTTTTTGTGCAAGGTGAAACAATAATAGAGGTTACAGAGAAATATAAATTTGGTTTTCATTCGTAGGATACTATAAAATTACCTAAAAATATGATTCATTATTTTATTAGGAAAGTTTTGTACTTCAATGAAACTGTTTTGCCCAAAGTGTCATGCCTTTTAGAATAGCAAGTTAAAGCTTGAAACAAATGCCTCGTGTAAATTAGACCATGCTGAATGCTCCCAAATTCAATCGTGAGGCGCTTTCCGAGTTTTATATATTTCCTACAATAAAAGTAGATGTCAGGTACTGATATGTACCGTTTGAATAAAACAGAGGTAATTTTCTTAAACTCACAAATTCCTGGCTTATTTTTGAGACATCCTTTTTACGGTCAAACGAGCGAAAGATTTTGTCTCCAAATCAGAAGGAATGAGATCTGATAAAGACGTTGAGGGGCGATAAAATTATCTAAATCTCGTGTGTTTGGGCCTAATTCCTATCTAATGTAATAAAGTCTAAGATGAATTATCGTTTGGACATTGATGCTGCGATCGAAGAAAAGCTCAAATTTTGCAACAGTACCTTACTCCAGTGAAGAATTAGAACAGAGCTAACTGCACTTTTAAAAAGGTGCACTAACTCAAACAATCCATTCTAAGTTAATGATATCTACTTCCAGGCCACATCAGGGGACTTTTGGAAGTAAGTAAAGTTAGGAAGTTGGCTGGGTGGTAAAGAAAGGATACGGGGTAATTTCTTACTGCGCTGCACTGGGACCATCCATACTTATAAGGTTGCGACACATGAATGATATGTTTAGGAGAAAAATTTCAACCGAGGAAGGGCATGCTTAAGCTGGTCTTCGCTAGCAGTAGGTCTGTTTTAAGCTTCAGAAATAGCCAACAGTAGCTTGCGAGTGGATTACTTTTAGGGAAAGTCTGTGAGGCGGTGCTTTGTGGTCTAAAATGCATGAATTTAAAGCTTTTGTAATGCTTTAATTCTTATCAACTTGGTACCTAATTACAAAGTCAATCCATCAAAAAGAGAAAACAAACCAAGTTTTCATATACCCCTAAAATTTTACCTTCAGTCGGTCATAAAATTTTTGATTAAGGCCATGTTTTGGCAAAACTTTGTAAACTCAAAAATTTAAATATCTATACTTGTGCAGCTCAAAGATTTGTAACAAGAAATTCGCCAAAATTATCTAAGTCTACTGAAATTGTCCTTTGCACACAAATGAGACAGTAGAGGTGTTGTTGTCCATAAAGTAGCCAACTGAATAAGAGAAATAGTTTACTGTGAATTAGATAGAATGTTTAGCATCCGATCGCTACCTTTCACGAAGCCCTTTACATTGAACGCGTCGAAAATTAATAAACCACCACAAAGTCACTTGGAAACTTTAAAGAATACAACTGGTGGGAAAATCAATCATTCGACTAGATTGCGTAGGCTCAGAACCCTTATGACTCTCACAAACTGGAGTAGCTTCTCTTCATCTCCGTGCATGTAAAGCACATCTGCTTGCGTACGCAATCGTCTCTGCCAAGCACATTTAGTCATATCTAAAGGTGGTTTCTTTGAAGTATTGACTTTGACAATAGTTTTGCTAGTGGTGAAAATGATAAGAACACGGCTACATGAGGATTAGCAAAATAAACCCTCTCGGACCGAATGCATGGCCAGAGGCATGACTTTTAACTCCCCTCCTTTCCCCTAAGTTAAACTTCGATGAAGACAAACTGAGTGATGTGTCATGAATATATTGAGTTTCGAGGTGACAGTAAATCCTCTTTCTGATAAGCAAACGTAGAGAGGAGAGCAAGAACCGACCTGTTCACCAAGTACCATCGTGAGTGCTAAAGGTGGTCCAGTAGGTCGTTGCTGTCCGAGCATGGAGAAAGGCAGGTTCTGGTGCTCTGAGCGCACGCGCTTCAATGTCATCTGCTCGCCTGGCTGATGTCGGTGCATTCTCCCCGTCAGCCGGTACAGCCCTGACTCGGACTGGCGCCTGGGGAAGGTCTGTGACATCGCCGTTGACGATGCCGCCGCTGCTGCAGATGTCGAGGCTCCCACCGTCGCGAGGACACTGCGACTCGGACCCTCCACCTCATCCGTGGAATAGCGCTTCCGATGACCTTTGGGCAGCATATGTAGTGGCAGGGGCTGAAAGGGCGGTACCGAGACAGGAGGCCGTGTGGATTCTGCAGGCACTGCATGCTTCTGGTAGAGGAGACGCAGTGCCTCCTGGAAGCATGCAGCGGATGAGGCGGTGGGTGAGACGGTGGAAGCGGAGCCGGAAGTTGTGAAAGAGAACGCAGGTGGAAGGAAGGAGGGAGGATAAGTAGTGCGGGGGGAGAGAAGGGCGTGCTGTGGTGGTGGCAGTGGTGGTAGCGGCGGGAGCAAGGGTTGAGGAGGAGAAGGCTGCCTTTTGTGGATCATGGGGATCGGAGGGAATTTCATGCTGGGTCCAGACGAGTCTACGTAGAAGTGCAGAAAATTGCTTAGTCCAGATGCAGTCTTGTTCTTTTGATTTATCAGACTGATAATATTAGGTCAACAAATTAATATTTATGCATGTAGATTTGAAGTTCTTTAGACAATTTTCTTCATTTTTGAGAAGAGAAAATAATCTGCCTAATAAACGATCGCAATATAATCAAGCGCCACCGCAGTACCTGTGACAAATGGGCCTGCGCATAAATTATAGGCTAATAGGAGTTTTGACGATCCTGATAAAAAAATTGTCAATGAAGCATCCTAGTTTATTTATCAATACTTGGAGAAAACAAAGTGGTGAATGCTTCGGCAGAACCCACGACTTTGCACCACACGAGGGAAACAATTGTAATTCAACTATATGCTAAGCTTTCTCTGAAATTTCTTCCATTTTAAATATCCAAGCCACAAGGCAGGGTCAAGTTCAAGTAAGCTAACTCCACACTAACTGCGTACATGAAGTGGAGGTGTTAATTACATATGATAAATGAGTGTGGAAGTGTTGTTGGAAACGTAACTTGACGCTACAGAATAGGAGCACAAAGACCAGAAAGTGAAGGCGTTGAAAGTGTAAGGAAGCTTCACAAGGTCAAAAGGCAGGTAAGAGGTTTCACTAAAGGGTGAAACTGAAGAAGTTGACTTGTCCCACTTAACGTTGCGGGACACGTTTGCATGGGTAATATTGCACCTTATGTTCGGTTACGAACACTTCAGGTGCTAACAAACCGAGTTAGTTGAAATTTTGTAGTTCCACGATCCCAGGATTTTTCACTAGCAATTTACAAAGGCAAATATTCTCACCGGACTTTGAAGGTAGCTCATAAGTTATGATAGGGAAAGATTTACGCCGCTAAAATTGATTGATGTTGTGCATTGTGGATTTTATAACCCATTTCCTTGAAAATATGTAGAAGTTATCGAAAACAAATCTTCATAGTTCCGCACTATTTTAAAAACCTTTAAATGACATTGTTAATTCGTCCCCAGTTGTTATTTTATTCACGTGGTGTGACCAAAGGTCAGAATGTTCTTAGCAAATTTCATGCAAGGTGTCAGGTTTAAAAAACACTAATTTTTTAGTTGATCGGTTAGTAGGAGATAATGCAGAAAATAATAGCATAAGCATCAACGCAGAATATGCTGGTAAATGCAATATGGATGCTATTACAGCATTCCATTCCGCGATGAGCCCCAACCCACCTATTTTCATTTACAAAGTTAGCGTCACGATCGTTTAACCGAGTTCCGTTGAGGGAGATTAATAAGGTTACGGAAAGGAATAGTGATTGTCTGGGTCTCGTGAGTTACAACTCAAATGCGATGGCAGAGAGCAATAAAATAAACGTCACTTAGAGTGAGAAATTCCAGACTTTGGCATTTAAGCATGCCTAGGGGACAGAAACTCGAAAACTGCTTGTGCTTAGGGAGATTTCGCATGGAGTAGGCATCATAATGACCTTTGATCCCCAGTTGGCAGCCTCCCATTGAATTAGAGAGAACAGCATAAATTAGTCAAGCTGCGAAAACTCGTATCCAGTCAGTACCGAGTTTTCGTTAAAAGGTACTGCTTTTTTGTGGTAGTGATGATTGTGCAATTGAGATTAATTGCCTTTGAAAAGTCGAAAATAACCGCGGTAAGCGCATACGAATTTGGTCAATATTGTTTAGTTTAGCTTAGTCCGCAAAGAGCAAGCCAAAAACAAAGCATTCGTTTTGCTTCTAAAACATGTCCAATTTTTTTTCTAAATGCACAAAAGAATCACATGAAAGACTCTGTAGACATTTGCATTAAATCCGTGCGAGGCCTACAGATCTTATTGAGCAACGGTGAAACGACACTCACGATTTAACGATTTTGTAGAGACAAGTTCATTAAAATGTATTGTGCCTATAGCATTAATAATTACTCCGACGTAAACATTATTTCCAGAATGTGATGAATGTATATTCTGTGCCAGCCTTAAACAGGATGTGAAAATATATGGTTTCTGGTAGTGATTCTACTATCAAATGGTACATCACTATGGTGTTACCTTTTGTGTAAGGTAGGTCTGATCAGAAGGGAGGCCCCTGATGAAACTACCGAAAATAAAGGGTTTTAAAATTTATTAATAACGCATACGGTTTTCCACTGTCTGATGCAGAAAGCACCAGCCATCTTGAAATAATGTGCACCACTAAACCGACTTAAGTTAGCAACTCACGATTTCCAAGTCTCGTGCAAAGTCCATCTGCTCCAAAAGTATAATCTGACAATTTCAGATATTTGCAAGAGAGGAAGAAAAAGCACCGAAATGAATGAGATTAGGCCAAGGATTGCATTTCCATTGTGCACCCAAAATATGCACATTCTGCTTACGGTTGACTGTTATTCCCAGGTATTCCTTGACCAGTTCTAAGAGAAAGCCAGTTTCCCAAACAACCCTTACCAGTCGTCAACGCACGTGTAAGTCGGATCAAGTATGCTGACCGCTTGTGGTATAGAGAAGTAAGCCGTTATGAATACAAATAAAATACTCTCAAACCACTGTAGGCATCAGGTGTTATCAAGAATCTAACCTTCATACCAATATAACACACTGAGTATGTGCACAGAGGTTTTTAGTAGTGGTTGATATTGAAAATCCACCTTCTTTACACAAATAACTCCTGAAAATTCAACTGAGGCCAAGTAGATTTGACACAGTGCTGTGTTTCAATCAAATGACGCATGCACAAATGAGGTACTACGTCTCTTTGACCCAAGTAATACGCATGGTTGTCTTGAAGAAAATTATTGCTCCCAAATTTCCCATCCGGATAGACTGGAGAAGCAGTATCAATTTTCGACTGATGCTAAGCTCTTAAGAATGAACCTTGATCATGCGAACACTTTAGCATTTACAATTGTGTTTTAAAATCGTTCGACAGGCACAAGCCTTGAATACACTGGAAATAATTTCTCGGGCAAAGTCCTGCTTGAGTGATAAGCCGCCTTTAATCTGGGACCAATGACGTCTGTATATTTATTTGCATAATGCGCTAAAAACTGCACAACAAGTCTTCGACGATAAACAGTCATATAAATGAGCTTATGGAAATTTTCGCCAGTGAAAACAAGTGGGCACTTCTTTCCGATTGATCGGACCGAAGTGAACCGACTTAATAGCAATCCAGCAGATCAGTGCGTTTCTTACTAAAAGGCCAAGGAGGTGAAAGCATATCATACTGCAGTCATGGCAAAAAGGCATTCATCTTAACAATAATTGTGCTAGATACAATGGCAAGGGTACATTTCAAAAGCTTTAGCCAGTTACGTAAGCCCTACTTGCATATCCTACAAGCATTATGGCTACTCAATTTTAACCATTGAAGCAATTCTGGAAAGAGATTAACCCTATCTCCAAAAAGTGGTTTTATCTTTAAAAGGAAAAGAGATATTTATATAAGTGCCCTAGCTAGATGGGCAGGGCTTAACAGTTCAAAGTTAACGTATGCACGATATTAGGGATTCTACACAACTGTCAGCAAATCCTATAGAAGATTAACTTCTCATGTGACTTTATAATGACTCAGTGGGTAAGTCAGTTAACTAGCTTAATAAAACTGTTATAAGTCCGAATTCATTAAAATGGGGGGCACCAGGGGTTTTTTATATTGACAGGAAGCGCATTCACATTGAGCCTTGCAGCTCTACGTGTCTTGGTTATAACGCATTCGTGGAACGAATAGTACCTATCGGTATCAAGTCATTTATAGAGCTCATTATTGTACAACCGAAATTATAAGATGGATACTTACTCATTGCTGATATTTGATGAAGATAACTGGAACACTAATTGTGTATGTCTGGCTTTATCCTGGTTGCCAACTTTGCTTCTCCCATCTACCCAATAATCAAAAGCTTATTCCACTGAAAAGGCAAACCAAAAATAACTTCATTAAGTGCTCCATTAAATACATTATTTACTCTTTTTCATGCGGTCTTTAAAATAATGCATTCATAGATAACAGCAAATCGTGAAAAGGAGAAGTCATCCTTACCGAAGCAACAGTGTGAACACTTACTTAACTCCCAGTGGCTAGCAGTGTGAAGGAAATAGTAAAGGCACTGTAAAAAGTGAATACATTTTTGATAGTAGACAGTACATATATATTCAGAGGACACGCGATTTCTTAGAATTGCTTGGTTGGTCTTGCGCGTGTGAACTGAAGCAGTATTGTGATTAAACACGGAAGTGGAAATTTAAAGAAGAAAAAGTGCAGTGCTGGATAACGGAAGGCAAGAAGGAGGGTGGCTTGGCCCAGAAGCATCACGCAGTCACGCACAGTCAAATGATTGCATGCAACTCCTCCCCATAACTAAGGTTTCCTTAAACGTTCCCTTTTAGGTTTGAGATAAATTTGGTTGATAATAATCACCTACATTCCTTCCCATTCCTATGGTAACACTTTCTCAGATAGAAGAGCATTTTAGTACTGTCTAAATTATTTCCAAACTTAGATTGACCAAATTTGCTTTAAGCCAATGAAAACAAACTTATACATCGAACATTACGCCCTTTTATGGCACACTTTGTGAGAACTAAGGATTCTATCTGTACAAGCACCTTAAAAGCAAAGTAACTCCTAAGCAAAGGTGATTTGCACAAAGGAAAGCAACGGAAAGGAAATAGCTCTGGTACGGACTGGTGCTGGTCCTACTGAAACCAACGAATCAGAAAAACAATGGCAATTGAATAAGCGCGCCTTTTCGTAAGTTCTAGCCAATCAGTGTTTAGCCCCTAGCAGTTTCCTTCTATGTATAACCAATCAGAGGGCAGAGCGTGAGAGTAATAGAGGCATAGCACTTCCAGCATCATGACTGCCAAAGTAGAGGAATGGTAAGGATTATTGCCTTGTTTTAATGTCTTGGAGAGATCAGTGCTATGTCTGCTAGTCAATTAAGATAGTGGGCTTACTTTATTGCTCATGGAATGTGGACAGCTTCAGGAATGCAATTGCAGACTTTCCTAAAACCCGCTCATTTATAGCAGACGCATTCGTTTATTCTAGACTCGGCACTTGTGAGCATGTGTATGTTGGAGATTCGACTGTTAAGGGCAGTCAAATGCATGGAAATATCATTTACGTGGGGTAATTCAATGAGGAAGGTTGACGCCAATATTGAATTAGCAGAAACTTAACTAGGCCCTTTCAGTACCTGCATTACGGCAACATTATCACAAGCCCAACGGCACAGGAATCAGTGGACATTGGGGTGCTTGCGCATTGGCGATTCCCATTACAGTGACTATGCACGCGCAGAAATTAAATGCTCTTTTATTCATAAGTGGGAAGACTTCAATTTCAGGAATGATTGATAGGAAATGTTTTGCACATTAAGGCATTAAAGTGTGTTACATTAAACGTACTGGTATCGAGTAAACTAGAGTTACGAAAAAGTAAGCTATTTAAAAGATAAAAACACAATAATACTCCTTTCTTAATAAAAATCCCCCACTATGTATTATTGCAAATCTATTCTTCATGGCTTACGAATTTCGCAAGATCCAAGTCAGTCACTATGTAAGATTACTTACATCCTCCAATCCACCAATTGTGTGCAGTCGGTGAAAAGTTGAAATTTAATAAGATGGAAAACACAACAGTGCGTTTTTCACTTACACACAGCAGGAGAGGAGTGAAGTTCTGTAGCTTGGATAATAGCCGGAGCGGAGGATCTGAAAGAATGGGAAAAATAGTCTAGAATGGATTAGCTCCGGCTATCCGTTTGATCATCAAAAAAAACATGAATTGGCTGTCCGGGCCTTTCTTTCAGGAAATACCCATATCTTTAAAACTGTGCTGTCCTATGCTACAATTAACTCACTAATGGAAGAGTTAACAATGATTGTTACTTGATGGCCAAGCTAATTTAGCAATGATAAATCAAGTAAAAAATGTAATTGCAACGACACATAAATTAGAAGTTGATGGCAAAGTAGGCGGAAGAGACCTCGGCCTCAATAGCGTAAATTTTTTAATGCAAAAAGTATGCGTGAAAGGGGGATCAAAATGTATGTGACCTTTCAAATGCAACATTATCAAATGTTCTTATCAAACTTTTATCGGACATATTTATACGCAGTTAAGACGCTCTGGTTCAGTCCTATAATTTAAGAAAGCCAGGACACCTCTACCATATTTCCTGCAAATAGGTGTGCATACACTATTTAGGGATTTAAGGGGAAATAATATAATGTAATATAATTTATCTCTACCATGAGTAGTAAAGCCCGGAAGATGTAATGGTCTTAAAAGTATTTCGTGTTTCTTGTTTTCAATAAAGTATTTTGCCGATTGTCGGTTAAAGTGAAATCGCGGTGTCTGGATCTTGGATCTAATCACTTTATTAGCCATCATGAATGACATTTTGCTTTAATTACATTTAAACAGCCCTCTGCGCTTGACAAGTGGTTCCGTTCCGGAGGTATCAATCCCAGCACAATGAGTCAATTAGCGATATCAGACCAAAATGTAGTTTTTTACTATAAGCGTGCATGTCTCAAAGATGAGACTAAAGATGAAACCATTGAGTGATAACAATTAACAGGATTCGAACCAGAACCTTAGACACTAATTTTAATGCCTACGAAAAGAGCCAATACCATCTGGGATATGCGTAAAACCGAGTGTCACGATTCCAGTTGTTATTCAGGTGTAGTGTAATCGCTGAAGCGAGAGATATTCAATCCTTGATTCATTTAGCCGTGCCATGAATAAATTACTAGAAGCCCAAAATTCCCGAAACTTTGCGAGATAAATAACCAAGGCGTGAATACTAAAATTTTATAGAAGTCCGCGTTTTAGCACACGTCAAAATAAATATAGACGCCGGTGTTGCATGATTAGGTCGATAACTCCTTGGTGTAGAGACGAAAAACGGAAGCGCATAAATCATGGGTACGTACTGGTTTGCTTGTTTGCGAAAAGTGAATTTTTAATTAATCATCGGTCTGTGAACAAACACCAGTCAACGTTGAAAGTGACTCATGTGATGGAACAATGGTGAGGCATGAGTAAAGTGTGGTCATTAGAATGACGACCTTGAGGGGGGTTGGGGGTACAGACGACCTCGAGCATTTGTTCATCTTTCCGGGGCCGTTTTCATGAAAAAAATCTTTGTGCGTCCATCATCATCCTACGGTGCGATTTGGATTGGTCAAGTTTGTCTCTACGTGTGCAGTGGGTCACTTACCATTGAGTGTACAACCAAGTTCTCGCAGTAAATGGTATTGCTTCTTTAACGCTAAACGCCTTCTTTGATCATACTTCGCATCAAAGTTTGATTTGTGGGCTTTAAAACGAATCCCCGTAGGTGTATGAGGCTGTCTTGAGCATAGTCTAGGAAATGAGTTATGATGGTAGCAGCATTCAGAGGGCAGCTTTAATGATACAAAGTTAAAAAATTACTGCTCTCGAGTAAACAAGCATTTTTTTTTGTATCAGGCCAACTTTTTTAAGGCTTTTATTTATTAAATGTGAACTAGAAGTTCTGTGAACGAAGAACTCTATTGAATCAAACAGTGGAATTAAATCGGAAAAGGAATGGGTTGTCAAGACAAAAACCGCCCATGAGACGAGAATTTGCAAAAATGCCAGCTGGGTCCCTATCATTTATATTTATTTACTTTTCCAGTCTCAGGACATTTTCGGTACACCAGTTTATTTTAAACTCATTACGAATATAGAAATGGCTTTATGGGAAATTGGACACTAGGTAACATTGGGATTTACATCGACTAAGGTGATAAGTTTTGTAACTAAGGTGATCGCGAATGGATGATAGAGTCTAACAATAGTAGAACTCCAAGACCTTTGATTTATAGGTAAAGTGAATGGATTCGTTAAGTCAAAGGGAAGTAACTCCATAAAACCCATTTCTTGAAGTTACTTTAATTTGTTGATTGTTACTTTGTTTTAAATCATAAAAAAGATATGCAAAAATAAATGGTATATATGATTAACAAACAGCGAAACTCTGGGGGAAACTGACTTAAGTCATGTTGCAGACCCTATTTTCTGTTGATAAAAATAAAGTTGATTTCAATACGTATCTGAATAGGAAGAGTTTAAGAATAATTGGGCTCTTAAATAAAGAAAATACATTGGAATTAATCCGATGTATTAAGGCCAGAAATTAAAGCAATGCGTAGATCTACTTTACTAGGTACCTTTCACAAAGGTAGGATTTTAACTCACAGCAACAACCAAAATAGCCCACTACGAGGGCCCGCGTTTCCCCTGCTTAAATTGTCTGCTAACTCTATAAATGTCTAGCGTTTAGAAAGAGTGAAACCATTTACGGTAACTCGGGTAACTCAAATTTAGATCAGAATGTCTATTCATTATCTCTCAGCCATACAGTACTGAAAATAACCGATCACTCTAACCGTGGATGTTATTTAAAAAAAATAAAACTGTATGGAAATAAATTTGCCACAGACTACACACTTTTGATTGCCGAGTTACGACTGGAACAAACACGTTTTGGCAGCGACCCCATATTTTAGACTGGAAATCAGTTATCACTTTTTTATTGCGATCATGATACTTTCATGATATTGCGCAGATCCATTAAATGTAATGCGATTTTATCGAATGAGTGAATTACATAAACAACTATAAATAGAATGTCATTTAATTTTATCACGAAATGTGCTTTTGGGAATCTAGCTCCGTTCCAGGCCCATGACTGCGCAACACCATGTGTTTTGGTTTAGCCAAGGCAGAGGCAGCGTATGTTCTTTTCACAAAATAGTAATGCAGTGATTCGTTTAAGGAAACGCCTGCACTTCGGTGAGATTGAAGTGGGACTAGTCCCTATTGCATGGAAGTCAACCACTTTAATAAGTGTTCTTAATATACTTGCAACAAGAACCTGCCAATTTGTAGGTTTTCCATTAGTTTTTGTCATCCTGCTGACAACCGTAGGGTTTTGAATATTTTTTTGAACTCGACGTACGGTAGGTCTAAAGCGGAACATATTTTACAAAAGTATGTTAACTGTGAACTTAAGTCGAAATGAAGAAAAATAGTCATTTTATTCCATGCCATCCAACGATAAAAGACCTCTCCCTCACTTACTTTATTGGTTAGGACTCTCAAGCTACTGATTGCCGGATCAGGTCTGGGAAGTTATGACTGAATAGGACTTCCCAACTGTCTGCCAAATTGTAAAACACTCGCACTATGCCACCAGCATTTTAACTGTACTGCGACAGACCATAAACTCGTGTTTATTCCCCTCTCAGACTTGTTATATGGTACTAACCTACCATTTTTCAAGGTAAGTTGCTACTTTTTGTAGAAATTTCTTTTAATAACCCATATGCTAAGGCCAGTGGTGTGTCCAGACGGCTTTCTTTGTTTTGTGGGCTCAACGTAGACGAAAATGTTTAATGGGAGATCATTTACACTACTGTAACGACCACAGCCAAATAAAACGAAGTTTTGAAATTGCCTAGTTATTCCGCTTTTGTGGTTTCAGGATTAACCGCACCAGGTCTTTAAATGCACTATTTCTTAGTCGAATGTTTAGTTATTTTGACTATCCGTACATTTTTGAGATATTTTTCAATGTAAAGCAAGACCATCCATTTTCCCACAGTCAATGAAAATTTATTCTCTCAACACAATTCGTGAGGCGTAAACCAAATTCTAAGAAATACTAAAACAATCTTCTCACCCGACATCATAAAGAGATGCAAAAACTCGACGACAGGAAACCTTTATATCGTAAAAAAGGGAAGCGAATGCTTGAGTGTACCCAAAATTTCATCTCGACAGAAACACAATTTTGCAGTCAATTAGCTCAAGTTCCATCAATGAAAATGCACATCAATGTGGAGATCCAGTTTTGGCAACTGCAAATTGCGGTGAGCTGCAATACGAAGCAAAAGGGGATGGGCTTATATTGAACAAATGAACGAAATAATAGGTAAATACACGAATGAATGAATGAATAAATCGAGAATGATCTGTGATTGCACATTTTACAACCAAAAATTGTCACGACCCGTTAATCTATGCTGCGGGTTTGAACAAAGTGGGGAATAGAGTCTGCAAAAACACATCTTTTGGAATGGCAACCTATCCAAAGGCTTTAAATGTTGGAAATCGTTCAAAACCACATTGTGTAGATTGATGGACATAAGGTGAGTCTGTGTAGGCGTACTAATTATGCAGACACAAAGCCAACAACCCAACCACAAAAGTCGCTTATGGACACATTTCTTGCAAAAGTATTTATTTATCTTTACGAGTTTTTTAATTTTGAATACAATAATTACTTTCACTAGCACAAGTCACAAATTTTGAAGGAAATATCAACAGCAGGGAAGAATACTTCTTCTTACTGTACTTCCCTATCGAAGTGCGACTAAAATCGGGAAAAGGCCTATCAAAGGCGTCAAATCGACGGATTCACGACTTGCAGCATCTGGGCGGAGTGAGGTGTGTCAAGCTTGTTGATCAACACACCGCGAGGCGGGAAAGCTTTGAGGTGGTTCAGGCAACTACTTTTCACAATGTGGTCAAGGCTGTTCATTATCCACTCAGTATAAAATTATGTACTACCTTCTACGCAGACCAGTAGTTATATGTTGACCTATCCGAATGCGTAGTTTTAATGAATCCCAGGAAGAGCGAGAATTGGCGTTTTTGCCATTTTCAGGCTCAACTCTGCCAAATAACCAGACACAAAGCAGACTCATCCGCATAGCCTACAGGACCGCGAAATGTGGGTTTTTTTAATTCTGCACTTAAAAACTAATGCATTGTGCTAAGTCACCCTCCTGAAAGGCACAAAGCACGAAGATGAAGTTCGTGAAGGCATCACAGTTGGAAAGGAGAAATGAGGAAAAGGTAATGTCTTTCGCTCGCTGTAGATGGAAATTAACATAAAAGACACATTCATAACAACGTTAAACTATTTTTTCCCTATATGAACAAATTTGTACCTTAAGCACGGAGAAGCTAAATTCTACTAAGAAGAAAAAGCTAGAATTCTATACCGAAGATGCATTCGTTCCACCACGATTTTTTGCTTCACTGCACTTCAATTCTGGTTAGGTGATCATTTCCTCAAAAACGAGACGAGAACGGCAAGAGCTTGGTTGCCCCTTAACCGAAATAAAGAAGAGGAATAGAGGGGACATCTTTTTCCTTGGCATGGCATTAAGAAACCAAGTATCTACGTTCAATAAGGACAAGTAAATCAGTCTGATCATCTATGACGCAGTTTGAGAGCACTTGAGGGCCACAGGGCTGTTTCACATAATTTAAGATGAGTATGATTTATTTGCCAATGGATTATCATGGAAAAAGGTAATCATGGCTACCCGTATATATCACATTTCATCTGTTGGAGCATCGATCCACCAAGCTTGACAATGACCTTGAAAGCGAGCGCGTACGCAAATACGGGTGCACGCACGCACGTCCGCACTCACAAGGCACACGAGTGTGTGCGTGCGTGCGTAGGTGCATACTCGTGAAGGTGCGTGCGCATGCATGCAGAGGGCTAGGCTGACTACGTAACGTCCGGGGTGCACACACGCACCCACGCCGAATGCACGCGAAACACGGGAAACTATGCAAAAGTACATTTTAAAGCAGCAAGAGGTTTGTGCATGCATGCGTGCGTACGCGCGCTTAGTGTGCACGCATTTGCATACACGCATTTGGTGCGCACGTGTGGGGTGGTCAGTAGGCATAACGTGTGTACTTCCTTTTTCCCGGTTGACAAAATGCAGGGCCGATCGATAGATAGTACGATGAATGTCTACGTTGCTGTGAGTGATTTGTTTACCTCTCTGCAACGCAACAACGCAACACCAAATTCTATCTCACCATCACCGGTTACAAGTATTCCAACCTCTGACCACGCACCCTTTCATATGTACCATGCAGCAGCCTTTTCAGTTGCGATATCGAAAATATTAATGGGTGATGCCGCAAATATATTTCCAAACATTTTTACCTTGTACGGGGCTCCACGTCTCGGGTCTAGAAAACTTGCTCGTAATTCACATGTATGCTTTAGGATGAAGTGTATGAAATTAAACGGTCTGAGAATGACTGAACTGGGGGAATTGACGTGAATCTTTATATTCAAAATCAAAAGTAAAACTATGATGCTGATTCAACCAGCATTTGAAATAATTTGCTATTGAGTGCAAAATCGATAAATCCTGGGAGTAACTAAGTGAGCGAAAATAGTGCGAGAAACGGTGCGCCTATAACGGGGGGCTCGACGGAGTAAATTGTCAGGCGCTTGTCATAAGGCATTGTGGAAAAAACCTCACGACAAAGAGAGGCCCGCGCTTTGTGACTAAATCTGCTCATGTTGATGACGCCCGTACTCCTTGAAGTAGTGATGCCCTGTGGATAAGTGTGTGCGTGCACGTGCCTAAAACACGGGCCCAAAGCCGTCAGCGCTATCCCTAACCTACTCCCCTGTATCATTCTCTTGTCAGGTGAAGGCGTCGGATAAGCCTTTTAATGTCACCTTTTACCATGCAAATGCTGCAGATAATCCTGCAAACAACTACCCCCACATGGTGGAGTCCCTCGATGTTGGATAGTTCCGACATTAGAGAATCGATGGGTTCCCGTATTTGTAGTAGCCGTTGTGATGGTGGCTACGCCACTTTCCATCAAAATACCTTACAGTGCGATGGGTGACCAATTGATAATAAGTGCCATCATACCGACACACTGTGACTTGTTGGATAAGTTGACGAAAATTGGCAAGTATCTGTTTGACTGCTCTCATTAGTCAATGTTCGGCTCCAAGTCCATCATGACATTTCGAATTGTGTAAAACTTCTTTCCATGGCAGTCACACAACTTATTGTAACTCAACTCATGTCTCAGTTAATAAATCACCGCCCCGGACAAGAATGCGAATCAAAAATCCAAGACTATTCTAGATTTTAACTGCAAATATGTAACTCAAATGTTTCTAGAATGCATCACCTTAACTTACAAGCCATTATCAAGTCGAATTTGATTGCCTAAAGTAGTGATCGCAAAATTAGATTCTGTCCGTTCGTTGGTTAAGGCAGAGCCAATAGCGGTGGGCTCGGCAGTTAGGTGGTGCTCCTCATTATGCGTCACCCTTGTGGCATCTTATGTAAATTGTTCACTTGCGCTACTAAGGTGCTTCCAGTCGTGAGTTGTGAGTTAAGGCACAAAAAAATGTGCAACTAGGATCCCTCTTCCTATAAAGCGCATTTTCGCAGAGCATCAGGAGATGAGGCCTGAAGCTTTTTGCAATTTTTTAGGGTTTGTGCGACTGAAACCCGGTTCTTACGCAGTAAGAACAACTTAACTTGGAAAGTTCAGAAATTGAATGACACCAAAAGACACTCTTATACACAAATAAGGGAAGAAGTTTGTGCAATTCCAACTCCATACTTTGTGCACTCATCTCTCTTACGAAGTGAATGACCATTGTGAATAAGGAAGCAGGAGGCAATGCATCTACAAGTGTCGATAGTAATAGTTAATGCTGAGCTCTGTATTCCTCATACAGGCATTAGGAGAAATGAATTACTAATTTCAAGCATTACTGCCTTTTGTCTGAGAGAAAAACGAAATTTATTAATTCTAGAAAAGATCCTCTTCATAATAAAAAAATTTCACGAAGCTACACAAAAATGTCGGATAGCATAGGCACGTTCCATGTTGTTTGGAAATGGGATGGAATAAAGTAAAATCGTGTCGAATAGGTCGTGATGTGGCAATCAGAAATGCGGTCGGAAACGTTTCATATCATCTACACTACACAATGGATCAAACCTATTTAAGTACTCAAACAAGTCATCACAACATTAAATGCATGTAAAAACGAGGAGTAGCAAACAAAACGTGTGGTAATTAATAAAAAACTACACTGGGTATACCTTCTTACTTGCTGCATTAAGCCCATAAAAATGCACGGTTGAAAGTATTGCTAGGATTTTTAGGAGCTATTGCCACATGACACAAGGCCTAAAACATAACTTTTGAGCCTGCTCTACCATCGACATCCTTCCGCCGTCTGCCCGTACACACATCGCACTTAGTAGGGTTCGGTGGTTTCGACTTTAAGCATATTATTCCATCAGACTAAAATTTCGTGTTTCGAATACTATCTCTATATCTATTCGCGCTGCATCATCCATGCGATCTTGACAAAGTCCAGCATTACAAACTTTTCACACCAAACTGAAATATCGCAAACAGCAGAGCGCGATGATTTTTTACTAGTAAATTCAAGAATTTGCAAATAATCAGGCTTTTTAAATGACTTCATCAATTTAAGGAAGTCCAAAAAGTTTGGTTCAGATGCGTGCGTTCGGTGTCTGGTCAACGCAGCGTTAGTATGTGCATAAAATTTATAGGAGTGCATTACCATTACACCTAAATTTCAAAATTTTAAAAATGAAACATTTTGTCTAAAATATTCACACAGTAAAAAAGCAGAGCGAATCGTGCACATGGGAAGGCGTATATGCCATTTTAACCAGTGGATGGGACATTCAATGAATAAGAGCATCGACTGCTCGAAAATTAAATTTTAATCAGTAATACACCTTTTCGTGGTTCAAAATTTAAAAATATTTTGCCATTAGAATACAGGGGAGAATTCAGTAGGGAATAGGCATGACAGGAAACTAAAAATCTTTTTCGAAAAATATTGTCCTGAGATTACCTCAAAGTCAACTGACAGGTCATCAGAAGTTTACAAATCGGTAAGCAGCAACAATTAGAATCTGAAGATGGAAGTAGTTAAGCCCCTACTCGGACAACTTTGTTATTTCGTTTAGAGGCTACAGGAAATGCTGTTTGGACTGCTAAAATGCTTCTCAAACAATTTATACTGATGGCTTCAGTACTTGGCTGCTTAGTGGCCAGTTAGTTTGAAATATAGTCGATTTTTGATCCAATGATGTGTTGCTAAGTATATTAATGCATGGAACTGGGTGTGACAATAGTTTGACCATTTTTGGGCTGAGGGGTACAAAATTTTCATCGCGTATGCCAAAAAGTATTAGTCGATGTGCCAGCACAAGCCAAATGAAAAAAAGCTAGAAATGAATAAAAATAAGCAGAAATATGACAGGCTACATCGGTTTTCGTCGGAGATCCCATTACATTTAACAAACTTGAAAGAAAGACTCTTTGTATTTAAATCCCAGTATGATCCAATTGTTGAAAGTATTTCAAAATTGAAGAATAATTGCAATTTTTGATGCAAATGTGGGAGTAAAAACAATACTGAGAAAATATTTAAACTGTGAAATAATGGGAAAAAGGCTCTCTGCAATACATCTTGCGACCGTTTATTAAAATGCGGTCTAAAAATCCCAACTGTTTGTTTTTTAAGTTCAACGTCTTCTCAAAAATCTAGTGCACGTAATGCAATAGACCTGTTTCCATTAAGGCTAGGTCACAGAGAGCAGCAGCTTTTTAGTCTTTACTCCGATACATACACCAATTTTCCAAAGTAGTATCGGTCTATGTTAAAGTGGTCATGCAGTTAGTCTCTAGAAGCAATTCATCCCATTCAGCACCAAGACACTTTCAATCTGCGACAGCATCAATGGCAGCAGCAACAGCTATAGCAAAGGTAACGTATCTTTCATCTCCCAGTTGGATCGTTTTGTGTCTAGCCACCTTGACTCCTGACTTACTTAGTACAGTGTTATCGAATGACTCATTTTGGGGATAGATATAATCAAATGGAATTATATTTTGCAATACTTTAATATCAGTACTCATTTAATAACTCAATAGTAGGACCATGCTTATTAGCTCAAGTGCTATGAAATGGCAAGAAAACATTTCAGCTTTGAATAGGAAGAAATGGTGAAAAGAGCATAGATGTATTAACACAACTTTGCAACGTAAAAGGCGTTACTGCAAAAAATATGCTTACTAAGAAGGGGAAAATTTGGTTAAAAAAACCTTTATTCAAGGAGCCATACGGAAATGTGGGATTACCAATTGTGGGTTTGAGCGTTAAACAAAAGATAATTGTCTTTCATTAAAATAGACCTTCTAATCCAAGTGTAGATAACTGGAGTCTATTGTGCTCGTTACCATGGCACTCGTAGGGTTGGCTAAAATGACTCTAGTGGGTCTCACCGCCACATACTCAAGTAACTTTTGCCACTGGTAGGGCAATCAATCCCACACGGAGTAGTTCAGCCCTTCGAACTGGCATTGTTGCCCTCAGGTCTTAGAAACGGAAGTTATAACAGTTCTATTGAATAGTTTTACCAATTGAAACGCACCGCAAGTGCTCCCTCTGTGCATCTCCTTTCCCTCCGAAGCGGTAAGGTGTCATGGGCCAATTTCCAGACTTGGCCAATCAACTTACGCATGCCCGACTTAAGTTATCTCAAGTATGCTGACGAAGTAACGGCGAACAGTTCTAGGGATTTACTCCAAGCCGCAAGTCATCCTACAGATGGAAAAGCTCACGAGGCCAGTTTCCGTACTTTTTTTGCATGCGTGAAATAATCTGATATCATATGGGTTAATGTAAAAAAGCGAAACTAGTATATTAATGCCTATTTTGTTGAGAAAATTGAGTGGAACGTTAATGGATAATGTCATAAGTAAATGTAAAAACAAATAGTCAAAATTATTGAAGCGGGTGAGAATTACAAGTGAATATGCCAATTAACCTTAGTCCATATAGTTCAAGAGTTTGTTCCCTGACCATAGTCCACCATTTTAACATCTTTTGGCCAAGCTAGGTGAAAGTATATCAATTAGTACTTAAAAAAACTGGACCCTATTATAAGGTTTATAATGACCATTCAATTCCTCGTAAGGATGGCCATCAATGATTTTTAAGATAACTCATTATTTTGCAGTACAAAAGCATTGGGAAAAATTACTGGGAGATATATCATGCATTCGTAGAAAAAGATATTGAAATGAAAAGAATACATGAGTAAGGCATTAGGACTCACATAAACGGAGGTGCTGAGCTAGGGCAAGGGACATCAGAGGATGAAAAGCCTGGAGGTCTAGTGGAACCAGCTGGGGGAGTCTTCTGCTCCCTTTTCAGCGCCTCGGCAGCCGTGGCAGCTGCGATGATAGAGGGATCGTCGGGGAAGATGTCCTCGATGCCCTTGTTCACGACGGTGTTGGTGAAGTCTAGCTGTACCACACACATGTTTAATTCTGCATCGTAGCGGATGACCCGACCTCGACGAAAGCATTCAGAAAATCGGACCAACACGATCGCCTTCTCGGCCAGCCATGAAACTCCCGATGGTGTAGCCGGCGCCGAAGCGGTTTTTGCCGAAACTTGTTCGGTCTCGTCCTTTCCTGCTAGACCACCGCCCTCTCTGTACGGTGATTTTGCTGCTCCCGCTACTACTACTGATGATTCTGCTGCCGCTACTAGTGGTGGTGGCGGAGACGATGAGGGAGATGGTGACGATGGGTGTCGTTGCTGCCCCTCTTCCTGCTGTTCCTCTTCAGGTTCTGTCTGATGCGGCTCCTTCTCCCTTTTCTTATTGCCCTCTGCAGCCACGGCTCAGGCCGACAATCGCCACCTTTCGGTGCGTGCTTTTCAACTTGGTGCTTCGATTGGGAGTCTCTGCGTGAGTGCCCTGTCTTTATCGATCTCTCTAGATCCGTTCAAACTTAAGAGGACTCGTCTTAGAAAAAAAATTAGCGTTTCCCCTCCACCAGAGGTGAATGAAGAGCCAAGGGTGAGGTTTCCACGCCGAGCTAGAGCTCAATGAGAAGGGTGTCGAGAGGATTGATTGACTCGTAGAAGGCAGCATAAGAAATATCTTCAATAGACGGTTTCGGGACTAAATTTGCCGGCGATCAATCTCATGCATATAACTAATAGACGCGTAAATGCTACTATAGACAAAAATCCGCGCTCACAGGCTCCCGCGTGCTACTATATGCTAAATATGCGTGCACGAATGCCTATGAGCGGTCTAGGTCATATATTCCATAAAACAGGTTTTTTGGCTAACGCGCCCGACGATTGGTCAGTGGGCGGGCCAATGGGAGTGTCAAATTGATCACCAAGCCATGCGGACCAATCACTGTTAAGCAGTGCGTTTTTGTTTTTTTTCCTGCTGAAACATTACCACACAACCGAGTTAGAGTTGAACGTCTTTTTGTTTTTCAGCTTTGTGTATTATAAAACTATCCCCAATGCACACTCATTGCTCATTGGAATAAAAATCCCTTTAAGCAGAAAAAGTAGACAATTTGAAATTTTGCGTAAGTTTATTTTAATTAGTAGGCTTTTATTTTTGGGATAGCATTTTTATGCATTGTCGTATTCATTGTAACAAAAGTATTCCTATAGCCCATTTAACGACCGTATACTGAGCCTCGCATATTTTTCATTTGAATTTAAGAAAAGTGAGTTGTCTATTTTTATCAATGAAAAGCTTCATAACCATGTCAAAGTTAAAGGATTTTAACGTACCTTAGAGACGTTTTGGAAAAGTGAGTACCTACTGAGATCACGATAGTTCGGGTGCATAAGATTTTGGCATTGCTCAAGCGTACAGGTAAGACGTTTGAAACCCATCATTTACTAAGATATCGCGAAACAGCTTAACATATAAATTCAAAGATGTAATGTGAATAAATGTTTGATAGAATTGTCCTGCGTCTCTTTTATTTTTTAATGTGGATATCAGTGTAGTGTTAAGCCATGAAGTCTCTCTGCTCACCTGTCTACTGGAAATAAGTCAGTCTTCCCGGAAATTCAATAGGGCTCTACAATACCGTTCCAATAAGGTGCTACTTGGCCGGGAGGTCTGGGTGAATCTTATAAAATGGTACATTTTGATGACTATACGTCAGACGTACATGGCGCAGATAAATGAATAGATGAGAGAATGTATGGAAGTGGAACTCTGCGACATAAATCAGCGTGAAGGACAACGGCTTGTTCAAGGTCACACCACAGCTGATGCCTGCGCCCTAGTTTACACTTTTGCGCACACCTAGAAGACGGGGGTGCTGCGCCGTTTTCCTCCGCCTTTCTCACTCCGCGTGGCAGCGCTAACCTGCGCCATGGATGGTGTGAGGCTACAGAACAGTTTGGGAATTAGTGCATCGATGAAATACAGTAGGAATGGCTGGGTAGCACCCTAGATTTAAGTATGCTCATCGGCGTTTCGCTCTATTCAAAATTATTTTTTAGAAAATGCTCCAGCACTAGAAGTAAATTAGCTTCTGTAAGATCGGGAACTTTTAAACCTTGATCATGGATGTGAATAGGAAAAATATTTCTTCGATGTGAATATAAACTCTGGTGGCCAAAAACTAATAAACAGTAATAATAAGGGGATTTAGGAAGACTTCAGAATAACGAAAAAGACCCTTTAAATCCACACGCGTTCAAGTGGAAGACCCTGTTGTTTTTATCAAACAAAGTGATGTCTGGCATAACTGGTACCACTTTGTTGATATTTAGGCCAGTCAGAGAGAATCTGTGAAGCAAAACAGCACTACAATCAATGAAAACAGTGACAATGCTGGGGCCAAAATTATTTGCAGATAAAAAAACGCTTATTTTGAAAGAGCGATAGACAATGATAGATTACTACGGGATGCTGATACGATTCCCACTAGCCCAGAAAATTGATAACAGGGTCCTCTTGTGAATCCACAGTTTAATTTGTGACTATAAAATTAGTTTTAAAAACTTTCATATTCAATTTTCGTTCCAGATATCACCTGCTTTGCTTATTGAAAAGAACCGTGACAGAGAATTGATCTTAAATGTACCGGCTGTTATCTGGCTTAAGTACTTAAAGAAAGGCTCAAAATGGATCAAAATTTCCCTTTTTCATTTGAGATAATTGGAAACTACACAATGTACACAAAATTCACATTTCTAAAAATGTAAGAAATTTGACAAAGCTTGGAGAGAGATCCACGTGTGGGTTTGTCCCTTTTAGTGAATCTCTCCCATTCCAAAATACGTGATCACAATTATGCAAGACTACATCAAAAGCTGAAATGTATTTTGCAGAAAAATACAGACTTTCTGGATTTTTTCAAACAGACATAGTTGAGCTCAATCAAAAGTTGATTCCTGATTTCATGCAAGTAAAATAGTGTTGTGTTGTAGCCTGTACACTCGAAAGTTAAACAACAAGATATTGGCACATTTCTAAATACAAATAAAGAAAGTGATTATTTTAAGTTAAGACCAATTTCTTGATTTTTTCATAGACTTTAATGTTGCGAAAGTTTACCAATTACATAATACCAAAATAATTTTCATCAATTTCGAACATTCTGTGATTATGTCGCCTAGTAACTGTGTTTGGATAGCCGCTCCGGCAGAACCGAATAGTACATCTGTCTTGACAAATCGAAAGAGGCGAACACGAGGAAAGTTTTTAGCGTATAGTGCCTAGTTATGCGTAGGTTTGCCACAATACCCCCCTTCCCCCACCCTTCCAATAGCTGTTTATGAGGTCTCCTTTCTGATGGATCACTCCATCACTCAAAGACAAGTTGCTGACTTTGACGCACAGGAATGACATCATCAACTAAAGAGGTTTATGCAGACCCTAGTTTTAAACAGTATCGTCCTCCTCTGGACTAAAGGCCCCTATTAGTCTCCAACTGCACCAAAAGATAATAGTGATAGGAAGACGAAATGTATTGTTTCGTCACACTAAATGCACAAAAGTAATAGCAATAATAATAATAAATAGTTCATTCCTTAAGAAAATGTTACGCTTCCTCAAATAAAGATCCTTAATACTCGTCGTAAATGCTAAGATAAATATCCTTAACACGCGTACGAGTGATGGATGAGAGTGTTCTGAACAAATATGAGTAACTCAGACAGCTTAACGCAAAATAACCACTTTGATTAGAGATAATTGGTGGTGACTGATCATTGCGATAAATAAAATCTAAAAGCATTCTTTGGAACGATTTTGACAGCAATCGAATGATTCTACATTAGTGTAAGACCAATAAATTTGATTTGTCCTACCTCGAAATTATGTAAAACTGAGACAGGAAAATCCAAAAACGATATTTTTTCCTGATTTTTTAGTTTGTAAGTGTTCCTGTTAATACAAGAAAACACAAAATTATCCAAAAATAATTTAACATTATAATCCCAAAAGATGCATTTTAAAGGAATGATAGGCGTTTAAAGGTAGAGGGAAGAGTACCCCATTGTCACTAGAATTAAAACAGGTATTTATCAAAACGATCCACCAACGTTTAAGTATCGTCAACGTTGAATACCCATCACATTCATTTATTCGAAATACTTGCCCTATTTTTAAGCTGGCAAATTCGTATGTATGTGTTTACTTGTCCCATTTTATCTAAAGGACTTGCACATGTGCTTCTGTGTACTCCCTGATCTGATTCAGTATGGCAAACCCACTTTATCACCGCATTGTCAAACCACTCACAGCTACTTGCATCGATTACTACGGAAAATTCCCCTTAACTACAGCGCTTGAGTATCGGCATCGTGGCTCGTGAGTGATCAGGTACTGCGACAGCGCAAAGACAACGAAATATGTCAAGTGCCTTTCATTTGACATTAGGACTGCTGTCTCCAGCGCCGCATTCGTGGACATCTAATATGCTACCTCAATTGCGCATGCTAGATGCCTTATTGTCTTTAAAATGAAAAAGTAGTTTACCGAGAGTAAGCAAGGTTACAAACTATTTTTATTAGCGGTTATCTTTCGACTCGCTCACATAACTTATCCTCTAGATTTCAAAGTGCAGATTTAGTTTCAACTCTTTAAGAAGATGAGTGTACGATAGTAAATGTATTCGAAACAGCCTGGCCAGTCCCTACACTTAATTATAATTTATTCGATGAGCTTATTTATTGGCCAAAAAACCTACAGTGAGCCTAATTTATAAGGGAATTTAAGTAAATTATTTCAAAGTTGAGAAATGTAGTTGCAATATATTCCAATTTGATTCCCGGTTAGGTTGACTTGGTTCACCTATAATGAGACAGGGTGTGGTGTTTGGGAGGTACTTCTGCTTAACCGATGAGACTCAGTTGCCAAATTCGTCGCTAGAGAAATAAGACTTGTGAAGGCATGTCTCGGATTGGCCGCCCTTTTAAGGATTCAAAATGCAACCAAAGGCAAAAGCGAATAACTTATCGCCAACGTTGCTGCGGAGTGTTGTGATAGTGCCTTTTAGCGGCATTTCAAATGTCCTTTAAACGTCAAGTAGGAGAAGATATAGAGTTTGACGAAAAACATTGCCCAAATTCTAAGTTGGTGTGAAATTGCTTGGCAATTTTAACAAAGCAAAACACTCATTTCGGGATAGCATGTAAATCGACCAGTTAAAATAAACGAAAGGAGCCGATATATTCCGACTCCGCACTTTACAGACCAGAAAATTAAAAGTAACTTTACAAAGACTATTTGTCAACATGAAGGATCAAAGCGTACTAAAATGTGAAGTGAAAGCAGCTGAATTGGTTTCAGAAGTCTCAACCTAATTCAACTTTAGCCATGAACATTTCGAAACTAGAGCTTGGCAGTTTTTTGATGAGATATGACTAACGTGACTGTTTAAAGAGAAAAGTCGCATTGCGAATAAGTAGTAAAAGTAACTCATTGCGCGACAATATATATTAGATAGCTAGTCAAATTAAAATCTACACAAATCCCAAAATTAGGCAAAATGAAAAGTTCTCCATCACACGTGAAATGTATTTCCCCAATCTTCAACCCGAATGAACAATTTTCTCATCAATCTTTTACAGAATGGCTTTTTGTACTTTAAGGTGGCTTTACGCTTGAGACTAAAAGTTATCAGAGAGATGGAGACTGAATGCGGCCGGTGGCGGAGACACACCCCCAACAGACAAGCATTAATCACTGCGGTGTGAACCGAAGCACAGACCACTGGCTTGTGCCACCGGAACCACGTGGTGATCACCTGCTTGAGAGGCTGAGTCGCAGCACTGCACTGGCAGGGGGTAAACAACGTGACGGAACAAGGATGGAGGATGCGTATCTGAGGCCTCCCGCACGGAGGGTCACATGCACCGGTGGTTTGTATTTCATCACGGTTAAGTGCGACCGCTTATGTGCAACACACGTGCACGCATCAGCAGCTGGAATGGGGTGGCGTCAAGATTTAATAAGAGGCAACAGGCGCCTATTTCGTACTATTTAAATCACATATGTGTGTAATTATTATACACTTCGAAGCACCATAGTTAATAACAAGGAGTGACACGCATTTGTGTATCTGGTAGCTCCATTCGAGTTTCATATTCAGACAGTATTTACTATGCCAGTGTGTAGTCGGCTAAGTATAATGTCTTGGCATTACCTAGAAATTTAACTCCTCCTACTTTCCACATTTCCCTGATATCTTTCTGTTAACTACTGGACGTCATTGTTTTATTGGAAAATAAATTCAATACTCTTGATGGTGCAAGCTTGACAACCCTAAAGTGCGGTAGGGTTCCGAGTAAAGCTCCTGAAAGTTTGTGCTCATATAAGGTGTTAGAGTACGTGAATGAGTAAGAATGACAAATGACGTATTTCAAAAGCTACA